GACATTTCGTGCATTGGGTGCTCCCTTTTGTTATTTTTGGAGGTTCCACTTGTATAGCTGTAGATTTGTCAGTTTGTAAATGTCTTTGTTGTTTTCTGTTGGTTCCAAGTCGACGAAGAATATATTTAAAGTATGGTGTAGGTGTTTGATGACTATTCTATAGGCACGCTCTTCTTTAGGTTGATAAGTGTGGTGTACTACATTTTTGTCCCTCATATACTTTATTATTTTCCTATGTGTTTGGAGTATCACAACTTATCTTTACCATATTGTCTGTTAAGGATTTTGTGATGTATTGTGTGTTTTCTGCTATTAGATCTCTTTGTTTTATCATTTCATTGTATTTAATTACTTCGCAGACATTGGAGATGGTTTTGATGTTTTATTTGCGTTTTCGTTACTTTTAGTGGATTCTTCCTCTTAGTCTGGGAGTGTTAGAGAACTATATTTGTTATTTGTTACTGTATCTGATGGTCTATTGGTAACATCCACTTTTCTTCTTTTCAAGGTTTTTTGACTGCTTGCCAAGGATTTTCTTTATTTTGCTCGCTCTCATCAAATCCTAAAAATTCTTCATCGCCAGTTGATAATCTTCTATGGTGGTGTAGGCTATTATTTATTGCATACTATGTGGGAATTGGTTGAGCTTCAATATTCTGAGGTTGCTGGTGTTGTGGTATCTATGTGTTGCATGGTGGGACATCCTATATAGTACGTCCATTATTTGTTGGTTGTAATTAATTCCTGGCCCATTAAAAGCAGGTAATGTATTCATTTTTTATCTGCTAGTCAATTAGTTGACCACTTTTATCATTACACTGATAAGCTAATTTGTTTTGTTTTTTGTTTTTGATTTATGGTTTCCCTAACACTATTGATATCGGGAGTAATCGACTGTGTACTACGAAAGTCAAGCGGGTACTGTCGGTCGGTACTAATTGAAGTCAACCATTTACTGCTAAAGAAACTTTACCTGCATAAAATAATTATTATGGCTACATTTATTGTTCTGCCTGGGAGCCAATTAACAATTAATCAGATGCGGGAGGAGTTTTGGAACATTGGACTTCTCACTTCTGCATTTAATAATACTTACGACGTTATAGTGTGGTGCGCATTGCGAAATTTAATAAAAAATAGTATAGTGTACAACACGTGCAATATAAACAGTTTTTGCGTTTGGCCGCATAGATGAATATATGTGGAGATATAAGCAAAGGAAATCATCAAGATCTATCCGTGATGGATCATTCTTTCCGGAAACTGATCTGGCACTGTCCAAACTAATAATTATGATGTATGGATTTGCAAATGACTTCTCGCAGAAACTAATGCACAGGGAAGCCCTATTAGATACCACCAGTGTTACAGTGACCGATTGGTGTAATTTTTGCCGTGAAGTTTGCGGCAGATATTTGGATCAGCATCCTATGGAACTAGGAGGATTTGATGCGAATGGAGAACCTACCCGTAAAAGTTGACGAATCCTACTTATAACACAGGAAGTACCATAGATGTGCCTACAGAGTATGGCAATGGATTTTTGGGGCTTAGAAAGAAACACTGGAAAAATGTTCCTTACACCGGTTCCAGCACGGAATGAAGAAAGTTTGTTGCCCGTCATACCGAACTGTTACTCATCAGAGTATCAGACTCACTTTGTAAATCCAGATAATAATAGTGTTAATAGTAATTTAGTTTAGTTAAATTTAACTTTAGTGTAGTGTTTAATGTAGTAATTAAATTTTTTATCTTTAATTCAATTTCAGCATTAGTTTTTTATTATTTTAATGCATTTTATTATATTTGCATTTCATTTTTTATCTATAATTTAAATAAAATATAATAATTATTATATCAGTATAATGTATGCATTGATCAGTATGTATTTTATTATATATGTATGCATTGACTGGCCAGTTGGTTTTTAAAACCAGTGCCAATAAAAGACACAAATTCACACATATATGTGCATTTCATTTTTTATCTTTAATTTAATTTATACTATTAATCTTTTATATCATTCCAATGCCTTTCTATTATAGCAACACCTGATATGAAAAACATTGTTTTGCAAACTGAAAATGAAAAACTCACTTGCTTAGTTTATGAGGAGAGCGATTTAAAAAAAATTTACTTTTATTTCTTTACTTCGTCAGCTTTTATTTATTTTTTTTTTGTTTTCTTAATCCATGTTTCATAACGAAACTTTTCCCCGGCTTTTTACTTTCACATATCACATTTTTGTTAAATTGGTCCTGATTCAGGTTCAGTTACAATACCAAGTTTTTCAAGAATTTTAGGTGAAGATGATTGATACTAGTTTATACAACATTTCAACAAAGTATGTTTCTTTATTTAGGTGCATATAAACGGTTACCAAGGAGTATATATCAAACTAAAGAGATTTAGTTTTTTTATTGATTTTACTTTAACGTGATTTTTTTACAAGTACCTAAGAATTCACATCATACATACTAACAAAAAGTAAATAAAATAATATCTGTTAGTTAGATTTATTTATTATAAAATGAGCATTTGCATCACAATAACCTTCCGCAGATCTAATTTCAAAGATAGTAAAATTATACTTTCTAAACTTCCTTTTACAGAGTAGAGTAAATTTTTATTTACATACATTTTTTAACATAATTGAGCAAGTAAAGTCACATTATTAATCACGGGTTAAAAAGTATATATATATATATATATATATATATATATATATATATATATATATATATGACTTCACAGATTAAAATATATTAACATTACAACCTTTCTTTTAAAAACTTTATAGTGTAGTTCCTGTTGAATTTCAGATGGTAGACTATTGTAAAATTTAACACACGCAAACAAATGATTTCTCTCTGTTACAGGATAATCTGTGAAGTATGAAATTCAAATTAAGGCTTCTTGTACTATATTTACGATTGGGAACAACATTGTCTGTCTACAATGATCTCTATCTTTGGTCCATTTCTTTTGACCCAGTTAATAATAATGAATTTACTTGTTGTCTGTCATCTTCCTGATTAGAAGAGCCTGGTAAATTGACTTGAATGTTTTTCATAGTAATATTCTACTACCTCCCTTTCTTGTATCACAACTTACAATGAAGTTGTAAAAACTTAATACATTTTTCGAGAAAAACATTGTATATAATGTTACAATGTTTTTATGAAAAATATTCACCAATAATAAAATTCTTCAATGTTGTAATATAGGTTACAACAATTTTTTCACGAATTGATTCAAAATTTGCAGTTACAAATTTAATCTTTAATTTAAAATAATTTAATTAAAATCTATGAATTTTTATATAATTTCAATGCATTTCTATCATATGACGTGATAGTATGAAATAACTGAGGATATGGCAACTCTGACATCTTTTAAGCTTACATTAAATGTCAAATAATGGGTGCTCTAAACTAATTATTGTCTAAACAAAAATATAAGTGATATTTAATTTTTTTAAATTCTGAGTTTGAGTTAAGTTTGGGTGGCTATGATAGGGGTTAAGAAGTATTTGTAACTTTAGGGGATGATGATATTTGTGGGTAATTAGGGGTTATGAAGTACACTTATCCTTTTCTTCGAAATAATTGTTTGTGGCAAAATTGTGTGATATCAAGCAGGTACAAGTTGACATTGAGCATTATGAATAAAAGGATTTACAAAATCAGGATAAACCTTAGTGATATCAGAAACATTTACCAACAAGCTAAATAGCAGATTAGAGAAGTGAAACATAACAGAGTTGTTCTCAATCAAGATAAATGATAATAGGGATATCAGATCTAGATTCTAGATCAGCGGAATAATTTTTAATTTAATAGTGGGAATCTAGAATTGAGGCATTGACAATGAAATGGAGGTAAAACCAAAAACAAAATGTTACAGGATAAGCAAAAAATTATTTCTGCCACCTACTATGATGTAATCAATGTTAAAAACTCAATTATCAAAGAAAATCGATTTGAAAAATCAGAAACAGAACAAATAATCTATGGAAGACCATAGAAGAGATGCAATAGAAGTCATTAGGGAGATTAAGTATAAAAAAATGCTGGAGATAAGATTAAAGAGAAGACACAAAAGTATTAGAAGAAAAATTATCATAAACTGATCTGTTACTATACTTACATCTTTTTTGGTAGGTTCAACTACTACAACTTCTTTATGCCATCTAAATAATTCTATTCTAGAAGCTCTGCAAATTAGGTGTTTGTTTCATCAATTATTTCTTAGTTCGAGGCGAATTCTATATTTACATGCCATCACTTCAGGTTTGGGAACATATAATAATCAAAGAGGGCAAAATTATTAGAAAGAAAGCAATTCGGAGCCCAACTCATGAATTTTTTGCTATTGTCATAATGCTTTTGTGATCTGGTGCATTATCTTTGACAAACAACACTTTTTTCTTCCACATATGGGTCTGTTTATCATTCATTAACTGCTTCACTGTGTCCAATTATGCGCAATAATATTGTCTATTGATAGTTATACCTTTTTCAAGATACTCAATTAAAACTATACCTTTACATTCCAAAAATATAGTGGTCATAACCTTTCCGACTCATTTTGTCGCTTCAGAGCAATTTTCTGCCTTCAGTCCACTGCTAAGTGTTTATTCTGTTTTCTGGTTGTAGCATAGATCCAGGTTACATCAATAGTTACTAATTGATACCAAAAGTTAGACAGATTGCTCTTCATAAGGTCCAAATGCTGCTGAGAAGTGGTCACACGATCATGTTTTTGGTTAAAATCAGCAAACATGATACCGAATGGCGGGATAATTTTTTCATATTCAAAACTTTGTTCAAAATGTGACCAGTGCACTCTACTAATTCTTTTGGCCCCTACCTAAAACTATTCCATGGAAAATCTTCACATTTTATTTCTTTCTTTGAATATCTAGATTTTACTATCTGCCATTTAGAATATTACAACCAGTATAAGCCTATATATAATATTTGTTTCATAATTTGTAGGTCCTGAATTGCTACAAATAAAATGGCTGACAATACTTCAGTAAGGGTAGCAGTGAGGGTCAGGCCATTAGTCCCCACTGAACTCTCTAGAGGCTGCAAGGAAATTTTAGATGTTATAAGAGAAAATGATCAGATTATTATTAAAAATATTGACAAAGATAAAGCATACACTTTTAACTATGTTCTGGGCACACATTCTGTACAAGGGGAATTGTATGAGCGGTGTGTGCAACCGCTTATGGGTAATTTATTCAAGGTAAGTTTAGAAAAAAAATATATGTTTATCAAAAAATGTTATTTCTCATAAGATTATTTTTATTTATCTTGAATCCGCTTGGACTTTTATGGCATTTATAACAGGAAATTTACTGTATGTATGTACCTACTTGTATCTATAAACTCAAGACAAATGTAAAATAAAGTTCTCATTACAATCAATTGTGGTTTAATCTCATATAAAATAATATTTAACTCTACTTCCTTGTTTCTAGGGTTATAATGTTACTATCTTGGCATATGGACAAACTGGTTCAGGTAAAACACATACTATGGGAACAGCTTATACAGAACATGGAGATATGGGTGTTATACCCAGAGCTGTAAACGAAATATTTGATTTTGTAAAGGAAAATTTCTCATATGATTTTAGTATTACTATATCATTTATGGAACTTTACCAGGAAGTTTTGTATGATTTGCTAAGTGACAAACTAAGGGAGCAATGTATACTAGAAATAAGGGAGGATCCAACTAAAGGTACACTATTTTTTATTTAGTATCAATGAGGTGCTTACCAATAATCATAAAATTGTAGGAATACACATTCCAAATTTGACAGAAGTAGATGTCAAATCTGTAAAATCTGTTCTTGAAATTTTGCAAAAGGGAACTACAAGAAGGGCAACCAGTGCCACAGCTATGAATGCCCATAGCTCAAGAAGTCATGCTATAGTGACCATTAATATTTCAATGAACAACAAAGAAAATTGGTAAGTTTTTGTTAGTTTATTTTAGGCTGCATTTCAGGATACACCCGTTTCTAATGGATTTATTTGTTAAATTTTTCTTATTCGACCTTTTTCTCTTATATGAACCATATCTGTATTTACTTTTGAATGTCTTATTGTATATACTTAACATACTCTTTAACAGTACCTTATTTTTGTGCTTATGTATTGAACTTATTTGTATATTCTACAAAAAATCTCAAGGTCAAGGCTCTAAAAGTTCACGAAATGAAAAGAAATTGGCTTTAGTGGCATGCGGAGTTTTTAAAGCTCAGTATCAAATTTACCAGACAGTGGTTTGCAAAGTTCAGGCATCATTAAAACGGGAAATGTACCCTCTCGATCCAAGAGGACTAACATTGTCGCCATTTTAATACCAGTAAAACTAATGGTGACTAACCTACCAACCGAAGAAAGTTTTATTTTTAAATTTATTTCACAACCAACCCTAATCATGAGCTTTTTTCATGACACGATATTTTATTATATAATTTGTATACAATTTTTAATATTTTGTGCTCACTAATAATTACTAATAATCAATAACATTTTAGCCATGAAAACAAACAGGCAAAATTACATTTAGTAGCACTAATAATTACTAATAATCAATAAAATTTTAGCCATGAAAACAAACAGGCAAAATTACATTTAGTAGACTTGGCCGGCAGTGAGAGGCCTAAAAAGACAGGAGCAATAGGAAATACATTTAAAGAAGGCGTGAACATCAATAAAGGGCTCTTTGTGTTAGGAAATGTAATCAGCAGCCTTGGAGATGAAAAATCACAGAATGGGTTTATTCCTTACAGAGATAGTAACCTAACAAGGTTACTAAAAGGTATTTGTGTTGTTTATCTTTAATTTATAAACCTTCTGATGATTTATCTAGTTTTATAGTAGGTGTTTTCTTTCATAAATATTTTATAAGATTCTAACTCTTAATATTAATAATAATTCTTATAAAGCAGGGCAGTTATGTTATATTTCAGCAGATTTTATTTTCACCTTTACTCTAGAATTTCTTAACATTGTAGTGTAATACAATTTAACTTTTTTAGATTCCCTTGGCGGAAATAGTATCACACTTATGATCGCATGCGTTAGCCCTGCAGATTACAATTTAGAAGAAACCATTTCGACACTTAGATACGCCGATCGGGCGAAAAAAATTAAGAACAAGCCTATTGTTAATCAGGATCCCCAGGCGGCTGAAATAAATATGCTTAAGAAGACTATCCAGCAATTAAGATTGCAAATCCTAGGTCAAGGTAATCAATTGATATAAGTTTACAAGGGTCCCAGACGTGTGCAATCGTCGTTAATAATTGCGCAATGCTTTATTCTTCGCCAACCAACACATAATCTCCATAACACCACGCGCGGATTGGTGCACTAAAAATCACAAGCGCATATCTGAGAAGTTTTTGAATGGTCTTCAGTACCGGTATCCAAACTTTACTTTTTAAGCAGAATTTTTAGAGGATTTAATCGAGACTGGCGGAGTTGTAACGTTGTGTTTTACCAAAAACTGTTGTACAAATTTTGATAAATATGCTGGGGCATTACCGTGATGAAGGAACTAAAAAGGGACCGTTTTGCGCTTACTGCATTACGCATTTTTTTAGAACTTACATGGAAAATTGTTAGTTGATTAGTGTTGCGCACTATGTAAAGGTGTTGGAAGATTGTTGTTTGGTTTCGGGATCGTAACAGTAAACTCACGACTTGCCACAAGACAATGATCTTTTTAAACATCATCATCATTTCTGGCAAGTTTTTCAGAACGATTTCTAAAAGAATCTTTTTCTCGCCTGCCTTGGACAGTTTTAGAATGAATTCGGCACACGCACAAGTGATTCCCAAATTCTTGTAACACAAGTTTTCGGAACTCACGAAATCGCTTTCAGTCAGTCTGTCAGTCAGAAATGACAGTCTTTTTCAATTGGAAGTCTATCATAAGTAAGGTCGATCGTAACGCGAGACTTTTTTATCATTTGAATAGTTTTCGAAAAAGACTCTTCGTTATTTTTAGCGATAACCAAATGTGATAAAAACAGTGCAAACTGTACGACCTAGATATTTTCTATTAGACAAAATATAAAGGCAATGCCAACTATTAAAAATTAGATATTTCGTGGACAGTTCCTGATTGGCTCGTACCCTACAGAGGGCGCTGCGACGTTTTCTGAGCTAACGAGATTGGCTTTTAGTTCGCGCAGGTCAAATTAGAATCTTTTTCAGTCGCAAATGTTATATGTTCAAAATTTTCCGGTGTTTACAAGTTTTTACGTACGGCCACTTTTAAACCGATTAAACCATTTTTTTTATGATTTTATATTAATATGACGAAGACCCTGTAAGCTATTATCAGTTAGTTGGCAATTACAGGATGTTCATGAAGTTTTACTGATAATGCTTATGTTCGTGCCCGATACAAGGCGCTGAAACGTTTAGTTATGAATGAAAGTCAGATACTTTTGGAATATACCTTTTTGTTTTTCTTGCCTAGGCCCCTCTGATCCAAACATCTCTATTATCACTGAAGTTGTAGCTTATTGAGTTTGTTGTACATTATTGTTTCCTACACCAAATTAGAATGTTTTTACCTTGCAGAAGTTTTTATATCTTTTGCTTGCTGTGTCCTACATATACTAGGGTCTCCTTTTAGTTGCTCTTATAGTTTTTGTCTTTTACGGTTCAGCACCTCACAATCGCATAATATTAATATATATATATATATATATATATATATATATATATATATATATATATATATATATATATATATATATATATATATATGCTCTGCAGTTTCTGTTTTCTTATCACAAAGATTTCTGCTTATCGGCAGTTAAGGTCTCCATTGCAAATGTCTATTTTATTCAGAAATTCTCTTACTGATGCATGTCCGGTCAATATTTCTGTTAAGGTTCTCAGTTCATTTCTACCCATATCGAGCAGTTCCGGTGTTTGTACATGGACCACCATTGAAGATTTTTCCATGTGTTTGTTTTGGAATTCCCTCCCAAAATCGCTACCCCTAGTCCCCTACAATCCAATATCCAGCAGTATTTGGTGCTCCCAGGATCACAGCTGGTCCGTTTAATTCATTCGATCCTGTTCTCAACAAGTTGATCTGCTCTTTGCTTTTGACTGTTTGGTACCCAGATAAGCTCAACCTTGTTCCGGTTTCCTAGTTCATTCAGTTCTTTGATGCTGTCCCACGCCAGTCTGGACGTCAGTAACTTCAGTGTCGCTTGACTGTCAGACAATACATTCCTGTCTGAAATCGACACTCTGTATAAATTCTTAAAATTGTAGCTTTTGCCATGTGATCCGATTCCACATTAACCTATAATATATTTTTATGAATCCATGAAAAACATGCTAGGGTAAAAAAATTTTAATACATAATCTAAATTTAAAGGGACGTCATATTAAAGAGTACAAACAAAGAAACTGCTACAATAATGATAAGATTTAAAAAATCTAGAAAGATATGCTGCAGTAAAATATTTTTGTATGTATTCCACTAATTGTTGTCTTCATGGTTTGTTGTGTGCATTGCTGCATTCTGGACTATCTGTTTGCTCGTCTTTCATAACAACACCTTTTTCTTGTCTTTGCTGGTGGCTCTTCATCATTTTGTTGCTGAGATATTCTATATTTAGAAAGAAAATTTTTAATAGCAGATGGAAAACTTTACATTTCTGCCTTTTCTGAGAGATATGGTGTCATCTGAGACATAGCTACCGCTTTTAGGTAATGTCAGGATTGCTGTGGATTTTCATGATGAACAGCGTTGTATAAAATTTGACTATTTTTATCGACTGAATATGTTCATTAGCTGAAAGAATATCACTAATGACCATCTTCAAGGCCTTCGAGATACTGAATACCTATGTTCTACACATTTTAGCGACATTATCAACTTCAGTCTTATTAGAGTTATAGTCTAAAATAATATTTGGTTTGTTGGTATCGGGATCAATACAAGAATCGCTGAACATTGTGGAAAGCAAAATTACTGCCTTGTTTTGTTTTGGGACATACGATACAATAGAAACATTCTTTTGAAACCTAAATATAGATGATCTTGTAGATATTTCTTTATTTGGTAAAAGATCCAATTTCCCTTTTATTCTTTTTTACTGTTTCTACCATTGTTATGTTTTTTGTTAAAAGCTCTTTTGCTAAAGGGTAATTTGTATACCAGTTGTCATAAGTTAAGTTTCTGTTTTTGCCTGCCCATATCACTTGGAGTATTGCCTTTTTGATATGACCCTTCGGGCTGTTTACCGCAATATATTTTAATATTACTCAAGTAAAAAGTTCGCGAATCACATGAAACAAAGGCCTTAATACCATATTTGGCTGGTTTACTTGGTATATATTGAGTAAAATGATATCTGCCCGAAAAGGAATTAACATCATCTATTGTCATTTGTACACTTAAACAGTAATTATTTTGAGAATTATCTGCCAAACGGTAAAAGATAAGACAGATAGGTGCAAGTTTATCTGTTTTCTTTCTCTCACAACATAGGTCATAGGTTTTGCATTTCGGGGTCTATCGTAGTTAGGCCGTACTACTTTCTCCATCTCTATATTGGTACATTTAACAATGCACCAATGCAATAAAATGTTTCTCAAGCGCCCTTTTTTCATCGGTAATATTTTGAGCACATTGTTTTGGGCCAGGAAATATTCTTAAAATATTTTTCTCCTCAGTATCACCATCGCTGCTCTTGGATAAGAGCGGCGCAAGATAGACGGGGTTGGAAACATGAGGAAGAGGCCTATGTTCAGCAGTGGACTCTTGAGGCTGGATGATGATGATGATGATCATCATCGCTGTCTGATACCTCCACGTTTTGACTTAGGTCATATTCCTGCTCTGAAGTCTGTCCTGTTCCTGCTCTGAAGCTGAGCTGTGTCACTATTCTATACAGCCTCTTTGTCCGAGGTATCTTGTTCTCCATCTACTTCTTCTTCAAAACTCTCGTCGAATATAGCAAGAGCTTTTATCATCTGTGAGCCTATTTGGATTGTTTATTTTCACTCGGTCCCTAAAAATACAATTTTTTATTATTTATATAGATATTTCCCTTAAATGTGATGTCCAAAAATGCTTATATAATTAATAATAATATAATAAATTAAGAAATATACATATAAGAAAAATAACAGGTACCTAGTATACTTACATAATTACACGCGTAGTGTATTCTGTTCATTGTGGCGATTTTTTACCCAAATACAAATATCGTTATTCACTCAGCACTAAGAGCTAAACTAAAAGCATACGAAAAAGGGTACTCCAGTCGAAGGTTAGGTGGTGCGGTGTTGCCATTCTGATAAGGTACTGGAAATTTATGGCTCATTTTCTGCGAGTGGTGTAGTTCAAGGTTAAAGATGTCCTTCGTCACAGTCCTTGGGATACTCATATGCCCTGTGCCTTCATTGCGAAATTTCAATTTTGCCTCTCCTTGTATTATCAAATGCAAGGGAAACAGGCCTAGTAGAGCCTTCATAGCGGTTGTTGGAGTGGTATGCATGGCACCAGTTTCCCCATACGCACAAGTCTAGTATAACCCGGAGATACTTTGCCTCTCCAGCCGAATTTCTTGTGCTTCAACTTTAGAAGACCTAATTATTCCAATTCCCGTCTGTGAGTGAAAGCGGCTATGATGGATTTGTGGGGACTTATATTTAACCTCTTCCTATAAGCCCATTGTCTCATTAGTTATACCTTACATAATGGAAATACAAATTATAATGATAAATTACTTTTTAGGTGGCCCAGCCATCGGTACACAAGAATTAGAATCAATCAAGAAAGAAAATATTGATCTCAAAACTAAGAAAAGAGATCTAAGTTTGCAACTTGCTGCCGCTCTTTTTAATAACACTAATTTACATGAAAAAATAATAATTTTGCAAAACGCAAACGAATCCTTGAATAAAAAACTTGTGGGACTAAAAGATATTTGTGATATTACATTAAATAGTTATAGTGTAGGGCTTGAAACCAATAATCAAGACTTATTAAAAGAAAATTTAATAAATTTGCAGCAAATAAAGGAACAATTTGCTCAAATAAACAATGATCAAAAGCAGACAGACAACGAGATAGCGTAAGTATTTTCTTATTATGTTTTTTATTCTTTATTTTATTATTTTCTCTTTATAATTCTTGGAATATTGGGTATTATTAAACAATTCACTCAAGTGTAAGGTTTTCTCGGCTGGTGATAATGGTAGGTACATTATATTCTCTAGGTAAATTATATAATACCTTAGTCACATCATGAAGAACAGCGAAAGATATAGATTGTTGTATTTAATTCTACAAGGCAAAGTAGAAGGAAAACGAGGACCAGGAAGATTAGAGTAGAGTAGAGTATTTATTTAACTACATAACATATACAAATATTGTTTGTAGCAAGTCAAAAAAAAAACATACATAGTATTAAATGATAAAAAATTAAATAATACAAACATGAAAACATATTAAACAGAAAAATATTTATGGCAAAGTTACGGTAAGCAGTTCAGTGGATGTTCTGCAATGAGTCATATATTCTTCTGAGCAGTAAAAACAATGTTTTAAAAGATATTTGTTTATAACTTTATCGAAACTATTACAGCTTAGCTCTTTTATACTTTTGGTAAAATATTGTAATAGTTATAATTAAGACTATTTTTTTCTGAAAGACTTAATCTACAGTGATTTGTTCGTAGGTAGTGACAGTTTCGCGTATTGTGAACATGGACATCAGACTGCTTTATTAAATGGGCACGTTTTCTGTGAATTTGAGTTAAAACTTGAAATATCAACAGAGTAGGTAGCGGCATAATTTTGAATTTGATAAAGAAAGGTCGGCAGTGTTCTAGATAACTAACCCCTGCTAAAATCGTGACAGCTTTCTTTTGTATTCTAAAAATTTAAAGTGCATTTGTTGAATTGCCCCATATAATTAAACCATAGTTTAGGTGAGAGTGGAATAAAGAAAAATATGTCATTTTTAATGTTTCAAAGTTGACAACCCTTGCTAGTCGGCGAATAACAAATAATGAACTGGATAGCTGTTTCTTAAGGTGTGAGATATGAGCAGACCAGTTGAGTCGATTATCTATGGTTATTCCCAATAGTTTAACAGTCTCTTTGTTAACTAGATCATTGTGTAAATTACTTGCAGATATAACCATATTTTGCGTTTTATCAGAATTAAGTTTTAGTTTGTTTGCAGCAAACCATTTAGGTAATGTCAGGATTGCTGTGGATTTTCATGATGAACAGCGTTGTATAAAATTTGACTATTTTTATCGACTGAATATGTTCATTAGCTGAAAGAATATCACTAATGACCATCTTCAAGGCCTTCGAGATACTGAATACCTATGTTCTACACATTTTAGCGACATTATCAACTTCAGTCTTATTAGAGTTATAGTCTAAGTTATAACCATATTTTGCGTTTTATCAGAATTAAGTTTTAGTTTGTTTGCAGCAAACCATGAGCTAGATTTAGTAGTAACTTCCTCATGAGACATTTTTAAATCATCATTATTTTTTCCTGATATAACGTATGTCGTATCATCTGAGAATTGTATGGTTTTGTACGAAGATATGAATTTAGGCAGATCGTTGACATAAATAATAAACAAAAGAGGTCCTAACACCGAACCTTGTGGGACTCCATGTTTTACGGATAGAAAATCAGAGAGATGACCTTTAGACACTACCGCCTGGTGTCTGCCACATAGATAAGAAGTTATAAGCTTAAGAGGGATACCTCTGATTCCATAGTAATTTAATTTGTGGAGCAAAATGTCGTGTGAAACGCAGTCAAAAGCCTTTGATAAGTCACAAAGAGAAATTGCTATGCGATTGCCGCGTTCAAGCCCCTCAATCACCTCGCAACATTAAATACCGCGTTCGTAGTAGAACGAGCACTTCTAAATCCATATTGTGAGTTGCTAAAGTAATTATTTGACTCAAAATAGGAATAAAATTGTTGTTTCATAACCTTTTCAATCACTTTCCCAAAAGTAGAAACAATGCTTATGGGTCTGTAATTGTCAGTTTTTGAGGAATCACCTTTTTTGTAGATTGGTAGTACTTTTGAGTATTTTAGTACTTCTGGAAATACTCCGGTGGATAGAATTAAATTAATAAGATGAGTAAGAGGTGTTAAAACTATTTAGTAAGTTTCTTTTAAAATTTTGCTATTAATCTCGTGAACGTCCCTACAATTAGAATTACTAAGCGACTTTATTATTTGAGAGACCTCTTCTTCCAGAACGGGCCGAAAAAAAAATGACTTGCTCGGAGAAGGATAATTTCTATAATTGACGAGGATATCGATGTTAATAGTGGGAAGAGGTGTAATTATATTCTCTGCAATTGTACTAAAAAATTGATTCATTTCGTCTGGAGGTAGATCAGGTTGTACCGAACTGGATTTAGTGTAGTTTCTTTCGAAATTTACTATTTTCCAGCAGTCTCTAGGTTTATTATTGGAATTAGTAATAAAATTACAGTAAGCTGACTTTTTAGCAATTTTTAATTGCCGATTATATTCAACTTTTTGTTGTTTATATACTTTGAACAAATCGGGATCCTTAGTGGCCTCTGCAATGTGTTTGATAAGAGAAATATTAGATCTGTTAGACCTTAATTCATTATTAAACCATTGCACAGGTGTTTTTTCAGTCATTTGTCGTACTTTTTTTAGTGGAAAATACTGTAATATTAAGTTGTAAGTTTCGGTAAGAAAGACTGTCAAAGAATCAGGATCATTATTAATATCATAGAAAAAGTCCATGTTTGTAATAGCTAGCGCACGTTTAAGCTTCTGTAAACCTGAAGAAGTAATAAACCGTTGAAATATTTTGATTAGTGTCAATAACTTTATGCTCTGAGTCAATAAATAAAAATTGAGCTCGATGGTCAGAAAAACAAGGTTCAAATACGCCCACTCTATATATATTTTCAGAAAAATTTGTCATAATGTTGTCAATGCAACTTCTGGACTGGGATGTGATTCTAGTATAATCGTTTATAGTTATTTTTAGACCAAAAGATGTTAATAGATTTTGAATATCAAAAAAATGGTCAGATTCAATTTTAAAATTTATATTAAAATCTCCAAGTATGATTAGTTTGTCAGCTTTACTAAGCAAAGATGTTATGACATTTTCAAAATTCACCAAAAATAAGTCAAAGTCACCCTTACCCTATCTGTATACAGTTAAAATATTGGTTTTTATTGAAGGTACATAAATTGCACAAAACTCAGAACTTTGCTCTACATTATATTCGTTTAAATTAAGAGAAGAATACATAAGATTTTCTTTTATATAAATTGCAACTCCGCCTTGTTTCTTTTTTACCCTACAAAAGAAATTAGCTAATGAGAATCCGGAGATGTTAATTAATTTTAAATTGTCTTCACTTAGCCAGTGCTCCGAAAAACATATGACTAATTTTTGATCCGCAAGATAAGCATTGATCATATCGACTTTATTTGAAATACACTGCAAATTAACATGAAACATGCTTACCGTACCTTTTCGAATTTGTTTATTTTGATGAAAGTTTGTAGAAGCTTCTAGGTTTCTTCCTCCGTCTTCTTTTTGTGCTGAAAATTTCTGTTGAAGTTAAATCTCCTAACGGCAGCTCCATTGGGCCAAATATTAGGACTGTAGACTTCGTCAATTTTATCGAAAGGGAAAGATACCTTATATGTGGAATATTTGTCAGTTCTATGCCATTCGACGCAGTTAAAAGTAATATCGGGTACCGTCTCACCCAAAAATTTTAGAAGATCATCGGCTTTCATATCAACACCAATGCGGGACACATGTACGTGGCCTTGTCTAGGAATAGTGTTTACAGTAGACGATTCGCTGTTTCCAATTATCGGTTTGTCTTTGTTTTCTTTTTTTGTTTGGGTATTCCAAGATGAGTGTCCTGTTTTTAGATTGTTTTTATTTTCTTTTTGTTTATCACTCATGTATGAATGAGGTAGACTTGTGTTTTTTGTTTAATGACATTTTAATGGATTCTTGACTGATAGAACCTGAGTTGGTCGGGCTTGATTTATTTACAGATTTTTCGCTTAATGACGTAGGAATGGACATGGCTGAATTTTTATTATATTTATCTTTTAATAAAGAAATTACAATTATAGAAAGATGAAGGATTTCCTGGCTGAAAAATCTACGTATGTGGTTCAATACAACAACCACAAATCTTTTCAGAGCAGCAGTTTGCAAAATACAGATTGCCAACATCTGAAACGGATAGACACTACAAGAAAAAGAATATTCGGTAGTATTTTCCAATAGTAACAATCATTTTTTTATTTTTAGCAACCATGAACATAATAAACCTTCTATGAAAGATTTTGCGGAAGGCGCAAATGAACAGTCAGAAGATATTCAAGAGAAACAGGAATCGCATACAAATAGGCAATTCAATCTAAATGTCCAACTGACTGAAATAGAAAAGCAGCTCAATATTAAAGAGAATTTGGCTAAGGAACTGATCAGTGCCAATTATGTTGTAGATTATCAGGTATTGTTTTTTTTAGAATGCGCTTAGTATGAAAACACGGCTTTAATTATTAATAATTACATCATATTACACAATCGCGAGAATAAATGTAGCAAAAAGTAAAAACCAGGCTAAAATGACCAAAATGTTAGTTTTATGAAAACTAAAAATAAAACGTAAACCATCTTTTTTAATATAATATATTGTACTTATATACTATTACTAATATATGTACCTTTAAAATACAAAAATAGGTCGTATAATATACAAATATTAGCCTAATAAGTTTTATGCATAAATTATATCGTATTAATATTACTGCTATTTTTTTAGTAAATATTGAAAGACTTAATTTTTGAAACGGCTAAGAGCAGTACAAATTTTGTTAAATATTGGTCCATACCATGGCCCAATCCCCTCTTTGTATAATCGTCTCATCCTTTAAATCATCTATATTCATTATCACCGGTTCATGATCTTCCTGCAAATTGTCCACCGCAAACATTTTTTCTTCTACGTTCTTGACGTGGTTCACACAATAAAATTATGCCACTGCTCTTTAGATACGCGTTGGTAAGCTTCTTTTGTCATTCTACCGTTTTTTCTTTAAAATCGACGTCGTTTGAAGCCACATACCTTTTCACTTGACTCCACATCATCTCAATCGGGTTCAGCTCGCAATGGTAAGGCAGCAGTCTCTTAATCTTAACGCCATATTTTTTCGCAATTGTTTCAATGTTGTACTTGTCGTACTCGTCTCTAAATGTGGCCTCAGTATCCAGTAATTCGCTTTTTAGGTAATCTTCCTAGAAGAAAATGTTCTAGCCGCATATAGAAGAATATTTCACTGTTATTTTTTAGCGTCTTTTTTGAAACCAATAATTTATTAATTATATAGTACCCACACATCGTAATAACTTTCACATGACTATTAATTAAAAGTTACTATTAAATATTTCAAAAATAATTCAGCAATACTTTTTGTTGTTATTAAAAGATTATGCATGAAGTGGAAGTTTGCGGAAGTTTCAGCGAAATGGAAAATTTCAAAATTTAGTAACAAGTTTCATTGAATACTTTTTTGTACAGGACAAATGTTCAAAAACTGTTGAAAAGTTTAATGAAAAGTCCTGGGAAAATGAAATTTTCGGTTGAATACATTCTGAAATTTTTTTAAAATGTTTCGTAAATTTTTAGACAGGAAAACAGTTTAATAAAAAGTTACGTGACGTTTATCAAATCACGCCTAATCAAATTTCGATGCCAATCTTTATTTTTAATATATTACATTGTTAAATTTTTAATTTTAAAACTTAAAAAGGTGTGATAAATACAATATTCAAAGTATTTATTTTTTTATGACATGTAAATAAAATTTTATGACCTTGAATTAAAAATAGGTTTATTTCAACACTACGAAAAACCGTCACATAACGTTTATTATACTGTTTTCGTGTCCAAAAATTTATGACATAAAAATTTCAAAAATTTTCAACCAAAAATTTAATTTTCTCAGGACTTTTCATCAAACTTTTTAGACAATTTTCGAAATTATTTCATTGAACAATTGTCCTGTTCAAAAAAGTAGACAATGAAAATTTTTTCTAAATTTTGAAATTTTCCATTTCGCGATACTTCCAAACTTCCATTTCATCCATAATCTTTTAATAACAACAAAAAGCATTCCTGAATTATTTTACTAAAATATTTAACAGTAGCTTTTAATGAATAGTCTATGTGAAAATTTTTACGCTGTATTAGTACTATTTAATCTTTTTTTGAAATAACAATTACTAGTAAAACATAATTTTCACAATAAATAAATATTGGTGAAATTATTACAATATAGTGTTAAATTGATGCATAGTTAATTGAAAATAAACTAATGACATTATTTAAAATTAAACTAAATTTTATCTTTAAATTTATGACATTTACCAAAATATAATCTTCATAACTGATTTTTTTATTCATATATGAATGAATAAATTATTGGTTTCAAAAGTGAAGCCAAATGTTAACTTATTGTTTAATTACTACATAGTATATTCTACGCGAGGCGGTATTTGAGACTTAATAAGTAAGTACTTATTAATTTTTTTAATTTAAATATCCGAAATTATACTTCACAATTTCGAATTTTCAAATTGTAAAAAATAATTCTTTGGTGTATGTGCTAAAAAGAAATTCTAGCGTACTAACAAGATCAGGAATTGTTTTTTGATAGAAACACCTTACAATTCTTTGAGCTTTCTCTCCCGGTGATTGACTTTTAATTAATTTTATTTATAGTTAAAAACAAGAGAGTTTTAATCATATTATTTGTAGATTTGCACATTTTGAATTAAAAATTTGAATCATATTTTTTCTAAAAAGATTCATTTATTAAAAGTTGAAATAATATTTTATTTTCTTCAAAAAATTTAAAAAAACGCAAAAATTTACTGGTATTTTACGACCACGCGGTATCTACATATAAAAATGACTGAAGTTCATTTGTTGCCCCACTATTTCTTATTTTAGAAACAGTAATAGCGCCGACATGACCGCTCCCTTGTGGTACAAATAAGGAACTAAAATCATGATCAACTTCTATTGTTTTGTGTATAACCTTTGCCGACGCTGAAAAATAACAGTGAAAAATCCTTCTATATGCGTCTATATTCTTTGATTTTATATTGACTTTGGTGTATTTATGTCTTTGATATATTTTTTAGGCAATGGCAGAAAACGAAGCAAAAATTGCGCAACTCGAAAAGGAAAAAGAGGAACTCCAGCAGATGTTAAAAAATATTGGCAATTCTGGAAAATTGTCAGAGCAACGTCGGAAGAGAGTTCAAGACTTGGAACATCAGTTATTTGAGTTAAAGAAAAAGGTAAGTTAACAGATGTAGTTATATAATTTGTTATTACAAACCAAACTTTAATCATTTTAGCTTAATTAAACTTTATTGGATATTGGGAGAGATACTTCAGTCGTCAAGAGACAAAAATGACACTGAACCTCTAAAAATCATACGAACAAACTGAATTTTGCTGAGAATGTCAATTTTAGGATGCCAAAAAAGCAAAAAAGTTTACCACTTTTACCCTCCCGCTTTCTCCTAAAAACCTCCTCATAGAGGAATCCTAAAAACGGAAAAAAATCGATTTACCAAGAATCTGTACGCCATAGAAAAAATATTTTGAATAAAAATGTTTATAAGCACATTTTCTGTAGAATAAACCGTTTTTTCAGAAAGAACGCTTGAAGCGATTGGCAATTTTAGTAATGTAAGTTACGCGTGCGAAATTAATGTTTTATAAAATTTATATCAGCTTGACGGTAAAAATTCGATATCTTTTGATCCGAGTATTTTATAGACAAAAATCAAGATGCGTTTTAAAGGTAAAGAGTGCAGCCTTTGTACCCAATTTTTGTATTTTGCCGCAAATAAACTGAGTTTTTATAAAGGCGTTAAATAAATATACGTGGCGATTTTTGCCAATTTTTATGATTCTCATGAGATACATGATAAATACAATTTATCCCTTTTATTAACCGGGCACTATGCCCGGTTATTAAAACCATTTTTTATTTGAAATATTTTTTTCGACGGTGTGTAAGTTCTTGGTAAATCGATTTTTTGAGTTTTTACCTCTCTAAGTGAGAGCGCCCACCAAACTGGCGTGGCAGTGGCAAGTAGCAAGTAGCACGCATCTAGCATGTTATTTTTAAATGTAACCAATGAAAAAAAATTATTAGAATGAATGACGTCACTATCATTTTGGTGAGCGCTGAATCATTCGTTTTCATTGGTTACATTATGCTAGACGCGTGCTACTCGCTACTTGCCACTGCCACGCCACTTTGGTGGGCGCTCTCCCTTAGAGAGGGGTTTTTTAGTGGGAAACCCGGGGGTAAAAGTGGTAAATGCTTTTGCACTTTTTTTGAGGTCCCAAAATTGATATTCTCCCAAATGACCTACAAATTGTCTACAAATATATTAAGAAGAAGGAATAATACAATACTTAATTTCTTAAATGCAAATCGTAGGATTTAGAGATTAAACCCATAAAATGCGAAACTATTATTTAATATTTGAAATTGATCTTGGTTTTTTCATAAATACCAACACAGATGAATTTTTAAGGCAATTTTATTCTCTTAATGGATTAGGCTAAAATATGATATATCGATAAGACATTCTTAATTTGTAATTTCCATCCCTTCCTTACTCTGTAATTTTTAAATTATCATTCCGCCAAGCATCCCACTCGAGATCATTTTCTAAAATAGTCGAGAAATCTTTCTAATTCGTGTTCTAGTAAATAGTAATAGTAAATACGAACTATGAAGGCTAGAAGTAAATATCAAGAAAACTGAATACATGTGTATTGGGGAATTCGACAAAATCTAATCTTGGAAGGAATACAGCGAGAAATAAATCAATGTCAAAAATATAAATATTTAGGCACGCAAATAACCAACTATGGCAAATTAGACGAAGAAATTAAACATAGAAATAACCAGGGAAGAGAAGCCATTAGCCAATTAAACAGTGTACTGTGCGACAAAACAATCTCAAAAGAAAACACCAAAATCTATAACAGCATTATAAAAAGCATTGTTTCATATGGAAGTGAGGTATGGCTACTGAAAGCAAAAAAACTTAAAAGCATTAGAAGCAACAGAAATGGACTTCTGGTGAAGAGCGGCTGGAAAATCAAGATTATACAGAAGAAACAAAAGAATACGAAAAATTACGGGTGTTAAGCACAATGTAACAGAGGACATCAGAATAAATCAACTAAGATGGTTGGTATGGACACGTCTAAAGAATGGATGAACACAGAATACCAAAGAAAGTATTGAACTAGACACCACATGGAAGAAGAAAGCAAGGTAGACCGAGATTAAGTTGGAGAGAAGGAATCGATAAAGACCCACGGGAGAGGGGAGTTGAAGAAAACCTTTGGAACGATCGAGATAAATGGAGAATGGAAATCAGAAGACGGCGTAGAACGTTATAAACTGATCGGTTGATTGGTTATAGTAAATAACAAACATATATTAAGTTCTTTTTGTAGCATTAAACAGTAAATTTGCGTTTTCTATAAATGAAAAAGTAAAAGTGTTTCCTATTTTGCAAATTTATCAACAAGGATGTAAAAAACTATCATAAGTAAAAAACATTCCGTTTATTTTAGCACCGAAATTCTGAGCTATAAGTTTGGGTATGGTGAAAGAAGATATTTCTAAAAAAGAAAAGCAATGGAATGGTTCCGAAAATTCTGGTAATAGTACAAGCTGCCTGGCAAAAAATAGTCATGCGGGTAATGCACATGTCCCTTTAAATGATGGTTTACCAATATTTCAGTCAGTTCACATTGGTGATTATCTTGAAGATGTGAATACTGATGTTTTTGAGGAATACTTTAATCTAATGCCAAATCCAACAGATTCCGCAATTGGTTTACCGTTCGATACAACGAGATCTGAAAAATTACCTTTTTTAAATAACTGTACGGTGTTTGTATACTGCTTCTTCTTCTTCTTCTTCAAGTGCCCTGTCCGTTGCGAACGTTGGCTATTAACATGGCAATTTTGATCTTGTTTGCGGCGCTTCTGAATAGTTCGACCGATGTGAGCCCGAACCACTTCCGCAGATTTTGGAGCCAAAGAGCCAGGCAGGAGTGTCTTCTCCTGCCTGGCCCTCGCTTACTGTCTTTTTCCCTGGACAATCAATTGTAGCAGACGGTACTTATCGTGTCTCAATATGTGGCCTAGATATTCAAGCTTTCTTTGTTTAATTGTATTCACGATTTCTTTCTCCTTTCCGATTCTTTGGAGTACCTCTATGTTGGTGATATGTTCGGTCCAGGATATACGAAGAATGCGTCGGTACACCCACATTTCGAATGCTTCTAGTTTTCTCGTTAGCGTCTCCGTCAGCTTCCAGGCCTCCACGCCATACAGCAAGATCGGAAAATGTAGCATTTAACTATACGTAGTTTTAGGGGAAGAGACAAATCCTTGCTTATGAGGGGCTTTTTCATATTGCTAAATGCTACTCTAGCTCGTTCTATTCTTGTATACTGCTACCTGGTCACAAATGTCCAATTATACTGACCTAACTTCAGCCAAGTCCACTTCTTTCAAGATGGATATGGGCTTGTCATCACTCTATCAAATGCATTTTTGTAATCGATAAACAAATATATACATCACAGTTGACATTCCTGCAACTCTGGATAAGCACTTGTATAGCGAATAGAGCTTCTCGGGTGCCTAAGGTATCGTCAAATCCAAATCGTGCCCATGACACTTGTTCTTCACATTTTTTATATATTCTGTTATATATCACTTTTAAAAACATTTTAAGTAAGTGGCTCGTTAGACTAATTATTCTGTAGTTTTCGCATGTTTTTGCATTTATTATTATTTTTTTTTTTTGGTATAGTTACGAAGGCCGACATTAACCAGCTTTGGGGCATATTTCCAGTTACATATATTTTGTTAAATATAGTCGTTATCCATTTTATTCCTTGTTCGTCCATAAGTTTCAGGAATTCTGTATAAAATTTTTCAGTCTCTACAGCTTTCCCATCTTCAGTTTTTCTTATAGCTGCCGTGACTTCTTCAATGGTAATCAGGGGTCCTGTTTGGCATTATATGTCTTCAATGACAATCTGCCTTTCATCTGCAAATGTTACTTCCACATATTTCTTTTAAGTGTCTAGTCTCTCTTCCACACTTAGTAGTGGATTACCTTGGGTGCCTGCCAGATATCCAACTCTTCTAGGCTTGTATAATAATGCAGATTCTTTAACTTTTTTGTGCATATTGAATGAATCATGTTTCTGTTGTAATAGCTGTATTTCCGCACATTGTTCTCTCAGCTGTGTATCCTTAGCCATTCTGATTTGCTTTTTTGATCTCTTTTGTCTATTCTTTTGAATAATACATTGTCGTGATCTTTGACCTTTCGCCTCTCTTCCATCATACCTAGTATCTCATTTGTCATCCACGATTTTTTCTTAATTTTTGGTAGTTTGAGGAATTTTTCTTACATGTCTTGTGAAACTCTATGCAATTTTTCAAGCTCCTAGTCTATTAAATTCGTTTGAATAACGCTATTCAAATTGCTATGTATATACTGTTTTACACTCTGTTTTGTGCGTTGGTCTTTGATGTCGCAATTTGGGTTGACACTACGTCGAATCTTCTTTAGCCTGACCCTCATTTTGCAAATCAGTGGGTTATGGTCTGACTTGATATTGGCTCCTGGGTATGTCTTGACTGATGTAATGCCGTCACGGAATCTTTTATTAATCATAATATATTTGATTTCTGACTAAGTATCTTGAGGTGATTTCCACGTGTATAACCTTCTGTATGGGAGTTTGAAGTAAGTGTTAGTAATTACAAACTCTTGTTCTGATACAAATTCACCCAATCTGTCTCCTCGCTAATTTCTTTCTCCAAACCCAAACTGTCCTATGAATTCTCCCGATTGTCCCCTACCAAGCTTAACATTTAAATAACCCATAATCAAGGTTAGATCCTCTTTGGGGAAAGTGTTTCAAGGTGTTGGATAATTCATTACAGAATACTTGACTTATGACGTCTGGTTAATGCCGTCTATTAACGTTGTAAAAGTACGCTTGACAAAGGTTAAACTTTAGTGTCTTGTATGATACTAGTAATGAAGATTACAAGAGAACAAAACTAATATTTTCTTTATTTGAGCTAAGCGACTCGGATGTAAGTCGCCGTTATCATTATTCAAAAAAAAATTAATTTAAATTATTTTTTTATTAAATCAAATAAGAAATATAACAAATCGAGAACTAAGGAAAAAAAACAAATTTTCATTTCCTAGCAAAATGTTTATGAACACCTAAGATGAAAACTTCAAAATAAAATTTGATGGTACTTTTTCGTGATGCTCATATTGGAATGGCTTTTATACACTGAAATTAAATTAAAAAAGAACATAAAGAAAGTAGAAAAATAATAAAAAATTCTCAAATTTAAATTTATCTCGAAAACAAAATACGATCTAGAATTTTTGTATTTTTTTAGCTCTTCTGTTGTTTATTACGTTATTTCACTTATTTCAACAATACTCTGTAAAATCTGCCTGGTATGCTAATTAGTAATTAGAAAGTCAATATCGGCAAAACCAGCTTATTCCAATTATGGGTATCTACCTGTTATAGTCTTTTGTTGAAGGATTTCAATTTTTTACCCTTAGCATTTGTGAAAGTTTTCAAGATATTTAGATTTTCAGATTAGAAATTGTTAGTGGGATATTAGATAAAAATTAAAAGGTCTTTAGAAAATAAAATCTTTATTTAAACTAATATACTGAAGACAGTCTATCTTTTCGTTGAATGGTATTTGCAATCTCCTATGCATAGTCCAGCTTTTTCGTCACAATCAGCACACTCGTAAATTGTGTTTTTCCTAATTTTAGGGATAGAACATATTCTACACAAATATAACGTGTACTTAAACTAGGTTGGACCATACGTGGGATGTGCGTGGGCTGTGCTCAATTTGCGCCGGGCCTAACTCCGGTAATATTGCTCAAATATACTTCAAATTTGGTATGAATACTCTTAAAGTACCTACTAAACTTTCGTATGGAATAAAATAAAAATAAAAATCCATAAAAATGGATTTTTTCAAAATACAAGATATGTAACATCTTAGTGAAACACGACGTGGTTTAACGAACTTTATTTAAACTTAAATTCGCTTAATTATAAATATCACAATTACTAATTATCCCTTAGAAGAATTCGCACTGATGCGTAGAATTGCCAATACTAATTTCGGAGACTTATCTTCTTCTTATGGTGCCATATCCAATTAGTGGATGTTGGCGACAATTCTGGCATACTCCTCTCGATCTTGTGCTTTAAGCTTTAAGAATTGGTACTTGGAATTTCGAAATGTATGACCGAGATAAGCAGTTTTTCTTTTTATTATTGGCAGCAATTCTAGTTCTCTCTCCATTCATTTAATACTTCGATATTTGTTGTGTGATATGTCCAGGGAATTTTAAGTAGTCTTCTAAATACCCACATTTCAAAGGCCTCCAATCGGTTCATCACGTTGGCCTTTGTGGTCCAGGTTTCTACACCATATAGCAGTATGGAGTAAATGTAGCATTTTACAAAGCGATATCGAAGCGTTAAGTTAAGACTGCTACTGCTTAGAAAGGTTCTGATATTAGTAAATGCTGTCCTGACTTGCTCAATTCTGCTACGTATCTCTCTCATTATCTAATGAGAACTAATTATCTCAAAACAGCTGGCGGGCGGTTTAATCATAGGGAAATCCGGAAATTCTCGAAGGTCATCTCTTTATTATTATACAACAATATTTTTTAGATATCAATAAAACTGATTTAATTCTACTTAATTTATTTTGTTATAGGTACAAGAACAAAACCAGTTAATAAAAACGAAGGCCAGGGACGAAGAACGTATCAAAGTTTTAAACAAAGAAATACTCGAAATGAAGCAGACCAAAGTCAAACTAGTAAAGACGATGCGTGAAGAAACTGACAAGTTCCGGCAGTGGAAAATCCAAAAGGAGAGGGAATGTATACGATTGAAACAACAAGATATAAAGAAAGAATGTGAAATTGCAAGAATGAAAGTTATTCATAGTAAACAGCAGAATGTGTTTAAGAGGAGAGTGGAGGAAGCGGAAGCTATAAATAGGAGATTGAAACTCGCGTTGTCGGTAAAACAACAAGCACAGGAATCGAGGAATGCTGGTAAAGCTGAACGAATCGAACCATGGGTAAGTGCTTCATTTTTGAAGCAAAACTTTTATACTGGCATTATATTAATTTTTCTCTATAGTAAAATGTTGAGCTGCTGTATTTGCTGTATTCACTATGTGCAAGTACTGGGAGGGGTTATGAGAAGGGATCGTGCGCGTGAAGCGGCAAAACCTTGCATTTTATTAGCACATTTAATAAGTACTATCATTGAAGACAATAAGATTTCGCGAATGTATTATAAATTGTAAGCAAAAATTAATGAAAAGAGAAAAGTGGATTTCCAATATAAATTACAATAATTATTTTATTAAATAAACAAGTTTAAGTCATTTTATTTGCCGTACTAAAAAATTCGCTGATCTACGACACTACTCTGTTGCGTATTTTTTGCATCTGAGTGTAATAATAATTATAATAATAATGTTCAGTTCATCCACTTTCTATACTTTATATAACCACCGCTTGTTAAATATGAGTCGATGTAAAAAATATATTTACTTTTATAGCTCAAACAGGAATTTGACCTATATGTGAACTTATTGGAAGCGGAAACAACGCTTAAAGTGCTTTTGGAAGATCGAGCTACCTTACAACATCAATTAGATGAAATGAAAAACAACTCTGATGCGAATTCAACCGATTGTAAATCAATTGAGGATGATCTGGAGCTAAGAAGTGTTCAGATACAGGATTTGCAGCAAAAACTCTTGGATTCTAATGAAGGTAAAGTAACAGAACAAAAATATTTTGGATACATTTGATTCAGTGATTGATTTTTGAAAAGTTATCTTGTTCGTCTAATATATATTATCATTTTTCAGATACTAAAGCTAAAACTAGAATCGACAAATTCCAAACAATGGGAGAAGCAAAGTATGGCATAAAGTTTTTGTTTGCTAAAGCCGCAGAAGTCGTGAAGGAGAAAGTTAGTCTTCAAATTAAACTAACAGAACTACAGGAACTTTATAATGACGTAAGCCATTGTTTTTTTTATTATTTTTTTAAATGTTTATTGTTATTATCCGGCTCGAAAGATATGTGTGTAAAACACAAGAGATACATCCATTACAGGATGAGGAAAGTTCTAAAAATTACTAGTATATTCAGAATTCTATAGAATGATTAACGGAAAAACATGCATTAAGTTTTCAAAAACATCAGAACACCTAAATCGATTAAAAACTAGAATATCAACATGATAGGTTAAAATAGATTAAAATAAACAAGAGAATCAAATAATTTCTTCGTTAACATCACTTCCTGTTTCCTAAATAGCCAATGTCTAATGTTGGCAGATGACTTGAAATTTTGGAAAGTTATAGATAGCTTAAAAGATTAAAGCTTGTTGCAAAATTGCTTAGACTATAAAATTGGTGCAATCAGAAATTTATACGTCCATGAATCAGAACAAATTTCACTTAAATGTAAAGAAATGTTGTTTTGTTTTTCCCGTAAAGTCAATGGAATTGAAACAAGATATACTATTAATAATCAGTCACTAAATTATGTTTCTTCTATTCGGGATTTGGGTGTAATTTTTCATGAAAAGCTTACTTTCTGTGACCACCTAAGCTCTATTTCATTAAAGGCATCTAAACTTCTTGGTTTCGTTACTAAGAACTGCAAGTATTTTTCCATTGATTCTACAAGATTAGTCTATTGTTGCTTCTTCTAAATGTGCCTATCTTCTAGAGATGTTGGCAACCACATTGGCCCATCTTATTCTATTCACAGCAGCTCGAAATAGATAAGTTGACGTTAGACCAGTCCATTTCCTTAGATTAGCCAGCCAGGATATACGTCTACGTCCAAGACCTTTCCTCTCTTACCCCTCAATCGTGCACTGAAGAAGGCCCTGTTATTTGCATGGCATCTCTCTATCATAATTTCACAAAATTGCATCTGTTTAAATTGATCATCAGGAACTATTTCTTGAGTTGTCTGCACTTTATAACAATGGTAGTTGTTTCTTTTCAAAATACTCCTCACTGTTTTTGCATTCAAATCAACTTCATCGGCAATGTGTTTACTTGAACACGGCATCACTTCAGCCAATGCACAAACTTGAATTTCTCTTTCTTGAGAAATTTTCTTTTCGCGAGGTTGATCTGATGTTCAACATTTTTTACATCTGCCATTAGTACAGACAAACTTTTCAAATTGATGAATAATGGCCAATACAGTTTTTTCTATAGGTATTGGTCTATTTTCAAAAGCCATAATAAATAAATTGATAGTTTCTTGTCCTGAATTGCCTCCAAAGTATCATTTATTTGTACCCATTCTTCTGTTATATAAACAGTCGGCATATTTAATTATTTTTATCTTCACACTTACGCAGTTAACCTCCAAAAAGAAATACATAGCATAGCGTCCGACCTGTTTCTTTGAAATTTGGTCTTTATATATTATATTGGTACACTTCAAATATTAATTTTTTACTGAGTTATCGAGCCCTGGATGAATATTTTCGCGCTGTCTAAGACCCTAAATTGTTTATAACTCGAAAACGATGCATTTAAGAGAAAAGTTACTTTGGACATTTTTTGCTCAGAATAAGCCAATTAACCAATTATTATTGCCAATTAAACTTGTTACTGTCAAAAAAAAAATTAATTTTACAATTGGTTTAAAAAAATTGCTTAAACCATTTTTGACCATCATTTTCTCTTTACAACATGTACTTTTATTATAAGAGGAACTATTTCAAGTATACTCCATTCCACGAATATACGACTGTTTTAAATTCGCTTTAAGGTGTTGATTTAAATGATCCAATGTACTAAATTGTACAATAGTAAATTCTCCCCATTTTTAAAATACTGTTACGACAGATATAAACCTTAGATTTAAATATGAAGTCATGATATAAATATAAAGTTAATAGTTTATAAAACAGTTGTAATTCAGATTTTGAAGTATATAATTACTATCATGGAGTTTATTTTTTCATTTCAATTATTTCATTGTAAACAAGTTGGTTTTTGAATTATGTGATTTAAACGAAATGTAACAATACTTAAGTGATCAAATAGTGTAAATTTTTAGTCGAATATTCAATTAATATTAAAAAAAAAAACAAAAAAACTTACTTATTCACTTATTCTCTTAATCTTCTAAAACTATCATCAACGATCAGATTCGCAGCCATAATCAGTCGGCGATATATGAAACTGTATATTCAATAATTTTATTTGCTAAAAGTTTTTTAAAAACTTACTTTTCTCATAAAAGATTGGTTAATTTTAGCCCTTAATGTTGTTAATTAACGTAACAGTGATTTAAAAAAAAACTGAGCTATCTTGGCTCCTAAGGTCGTAGGACCTATTTTTTTTTAGTTGTGTTTTTAACCAGATTTCTACATGTTTTTGGTGTCATTTACTTTGAATTAAATTCTACGTAGTTATTGTAAGTGTAACTGTTTCTTTTTTCATCGGCTATCAGAAGAAAATAAACCCCGGATTATTGAGATCCATTCAGTCAAATTATCTGGACCAGCCTTAGAAATTAGCTCATTTTTCAAAAAAATCATAACTTAAATCTCGCAAAAACTATTTAGTCGATCTGGCCCATCTTTTGCGCACTGTTCAAATACAGTAACACCCTCAAATTCAGGTACATTTAAACAAATTTTAATATATAATAAAAAGTTATTAATAGTATTTAAAAAGAGCGATTTAGTAAATCCCATTTTGTGAATCGTTTTTTTTTTCTGAAAAAGTTGTGTGTTGACGTCAAATTTCTAATTAGATAAGTTTGTAAGTTATGAGCAAAATAATGAACTTGACGTTTTGATTGTTTATTTAAAAATAGTTCCACTAAAAAATTGATGGATCCCTAGATGAGTGTCTTTTTGTGTATCTCATACTACAAAACTGCCAAACCTGTATATACAGTTGTGTTGAGTAAAAACTAACTTAGTTGGCCTAATTGATTTTGTGCTTTCTTTGTATTTTAGATTCATTTTGTTTACAAAGGACAGCTTTTCTTTTAAAATGAGAATGTCTGTATTTTTCGATCTCTATTCTTATTAAGCCTTAAAAGTTATTCATAAAAGAATCATCAAATATCTTCTCCCAAATTGAACTGATATGATCGATGTCCAGTATTGTACAGCCTTCTCTCCCACTTTGTAAACTGCCAATGTCCCCAGATTTACTCCAATTAAGTTATAAAACATAAAAATGTCAAAAGACCACTAAAGCCTATAAAAAAATTATAATATTTCTAATCATCACATTTTTAGACGCAAGAAAAACTTAAATGCCAAGGCGAAGAAGCCGAACAAATGCGGCAAGAATATCAAGAAAAAATTGCTTCATTATTGACTCAGATTAACGGAAGTGGAGATTCTATTGGTAAGTAATATAGAGCTTATTGATACCAAATCATTTACCATTCAATATTAATTTATTCTTGTCATTCTTTTAGCAAAAGAGGAAGCTCTTCAAAAACAAATTGAAGAATTGGAAATCAAAAACGAAGAATTAACAGAAAAACTTCGTGATGTATTTGTAAGTATATTTTTATTGTTTTAATTCCTTCTATAAATTCAAAAATCATATTGCTACCATTTTGTTTACCGTGGAAATTACTTAAGTCTTGAGCTTGCTGCAGATAATTCCCAGCGATTCTTTTACGTCGTCTGTCCACCGTGCAGGTGGTCTACCTTTGCTTCTTCTATCTGCTCGTGGTCTAAACACTGTAATTTTTTGCGTCCACTGTCCGTTGTTTAGTCTGACCACATGACCCGAACAGTTCCACTTCAGCCATGCTAAACGCTACATGACATCTGTGACGCCTGTCCTTCTTATTTCTCCATCTGTATCCCGGTCTCCCGGAGAGTCAGTCCAAGTAGCGAGCGTTCCATTCTTCTTCGGGCTACTCTGAGTTTGGTTGCTGTGGCCTAGGTTAAGAAACGTGTTTTGACGCTTTAAGTCATAACTGGAAGCACACATTGGTTCAACGTCTTCTTTTTCGAATAATTTGTCATGTTGCCCTTGAAGATGTCTGATAGGGCTTCATATGTGGCCCATGCTAAAGTGATTATTTTTTCCAGTTCAGCAGTTTGGTTGGCAATTTGGATAACGTGACTTAGTATTTATATTTATGAACTAACCCTATTTCGTTTCAGTCAGCTTTTGGATTTTCGCTTGGTACCAAATTTTGGAAACACATACTTTCCAAAAGGCTATAGCGGGATAAGATGGTCAAAAGTGCCCCCGCACTGATCAGCAACGCGACTTGTGCTTTCAATAGAGCATATAAAAACATGACTTCATACAAGTGTTTAGCTTCCCAGAGCCCATGGAACCCCTTAAATCTAAAAAAGAAGCTTTTTTCGATTTTATTTTTTTCTTGGCGCAATTTTGCTTTAAAAAATCTGAAAAAAATCATGAAGATGTATCTTTCGAATACAAAATAGCCTGATTTTTTTTCAGATTTTTATATTGAAAATTGAGCTAAGGAAAAATCATTGCAATTTTCAATATTTTTTTAGGTTACCTATGTTAATAATTTTTGGCTAATTTTTAAATGGAAATTTTTTATGTATTTTTTTTTTTTCGTTCTTTTAAATGGTCAAGGCAGAATTTTCAATTTCTGAGCGGAAAGCATCGAAAAATCAAAAAAACCGTTCTTTTACTTATTTATTTGCACATAACCTCAAAACTCGGTTGGTAATTCAACATTTTAACATTTTCAACATTGTTTGTTCCACATTATTAAAATTCATTGTAAAAGTCCCCATTTAACTCTTTCATAAAGATAAAATTCGAAAATACCACGTTTTTTATCGTTTTCTTAATTTTTTTTACCTTACCTCAAAATCAGATAGTTAGATGTATGCTTTTCCATCTATTTGCTTACGGGCTATGAATCATCATTGTTAAAATAATCATTTTTAACTTACAAATTTTGAAAATTGCGAAAAAATCGTGATTTTCTAATATTTTCCCACGTTATTGACTCATAACCTTAAAATCGATATTTTTGATCGCACCCTTCAATTTAGTTATACCACTTGTCTTTTTTTTTTTCTTAAATAGTCAAAAGTTTAAAAAACTGTTTCTAAGCATTAGTTCTATTTTTGACTCGATAATTGCATAATGTGACATATCTCTAGGATCACCTCGGTAGGACAAGAATATTATTATATTTTAAATATTTTTTAACATTGTAAAAATTGTTTCAATAATTTATTTGGATATAAGCGAGGACATATATAAAATATTTGGTTACAAAACTATTTATTATTATGAAATTGTTATAAAATAGGTTATTTAAATTAATAGTTTAAACCTTCAATTACATTTTAGTCCTCATCACTATTCTTATCTATGACTGATTCAAAATCAGATGTAAAAATTTCTGATATATTTTTGCTGGTCTTATGATCTCGATTTATATCTTGAATTACTGAGATAATATATGACTGCGACTTAGAGGACTATTGATAACAAGACTGATAGTCAAAACGGTACTAAGGCGACGGCAGCACGAAGGCGACGCGACGGCGACACCAACACCAAGGCGAAAGCAGTGACGACAGAAACAATATCTGCAACGCGCATACTCCCATTGTAGTTGTCGTGGTTACGGAACATGCGCGTAGCAGGCATTGCTGTTGTCTAGAGATTTACGATATTAACCATAGATAAATAATATAATAGTAGAAATAGATAGGCAACTCAATGTATAAATTTCGTTCATTAGGACCCCTTACGGCTGGAGTCAATACTAATCATCTTTTGGCGGCAAATTCGAATGAACACTCCTTACATACATACCCTTTAGCGCCTCTTGTGGGCTATTTCGTTACTAATTAAAATTTATTGGAAAATAAGGATATATAAAAGATGCACAATTTTTTCTAAATATACTTATATTTATTTGTTGTTTAAGATAAAACAGTTATAAAATAATTACATAATATTTATTACACATATTTGCAGAAGTTAAATACTATTATTTTTTGCTTCCTGACAACTTACTATCATCGTTTTTGTAATTTTTCCATGATTTGTACACAACGAGCAATACAATAATTCACCATGATTAGTTTTGTTACTAGCACAACACAAAAATTCTTTGCTACAATAGGTAACTCAAAATAAACTTTAAAAATGAAGTAACCAAATTTAAATTAAAATTACTAAGAATAAATGCAAACAAAAGTTAAAGATAATAAAATAAAATTGAAAACTTGTAAACAAACGGAAGATCTGTCATTACTTTGGATTGACAGAATTGACATTGCTTCGTTTGATTATTTTATTCGGTTTATGATTGGTTAAAGTCTTCGTGAGAGAGATAGGCTGTCATTTCTCTTTATTAACTCGCTGGGGTCAAAGTGATGGGGGAATGAACCAAGTCATTCATATAAGATTCCAGGCCATGATATTAACTCACAACGGATTTTAGGACAAACGGATGATATATATCATAGGCGTTCTATATCATTATCTAGTAACTTATTTATTTTGATAAACATTTGGCACTAGACTATATGTAGGCAATATGCATTATCAGCTAAGACTTGAGCACAAAAAGTGATATGCGATTAAAAGCGATAGAAGCAATTGTTGAGGAAGGGTCAATCATAAAACTGTAGTTTTTTTTTTTTTCGAGCTTTCGCTTTAAAAAAAAAAAGAGACAAGTGGTATTACAAAATTGAAGGGTGCGATAAAAAATACGAGGAAATTCGATCATTTAGCTACTAGATTTTAAGGTTATGAACCAATAAAGTGGGAAAATATTAGAAAATCACGATTTTTCCGCAATTTAAGAATTTGTAAGTTAAAAATGATTGTTTTAACAATGATTCATAGCCCGTAAGAAAATACATGGAAAGGGGTACATCTAACTATCTGATTTTCAGGTAAGGTAAAAAAAGTGCGAAAATGATAAAAAAAACGTGGTATTTTCGAATTTTATCTTTATGAAAGAGTTAAATGGGGACTTTTACAATGAATTTTGATACTGTGGAAGAAAAAATGTTGAATTACCAACTGAGTTTTGAGGTTAGGTGCAAATAAATAAGTTAAAAAACGGTTTTTTTTTTATTTTTCGATGCTTTCCGCTCAGAAATTAAAAATTCTGCCTTGGCCATTTAAAAAAACGAAAAAAAAAATACTATCTGAAAGTTAGCCAAAAATTATTAACATAACCTAATAATTATTGAAAATTTCAATGATTTTTCCTGAGCTCAATTTTCAATATAAAAATCTGAAAAAAATCAGGCTATTTTGTATTCGAAAGATACATCTTCATGATTTTTTTCAGATTTTTTAAAGCAAAATTGCGCTTAGAAAAAAATAAAATCGAAAAAAGCTTCTTTTTTAGATTTAAGGGGTTGCATGGGCTCTGGGAAGCTAAACATTTGTATGAAGTCATGTTTTTATATGCTCTATTGAAAGCACAAGTCGCGGTGCTGATTGATAGACATAGTTTCAAGTCAAGTTATCTGCTATTAGAACTGTGTCGTCCTCACTTCGTGGATGGAAGAGCAGTTCGCCGTCGACATTGATTCCTTTGGCGTTACACTTCAATTTATTGAAAGCCTGTGTCAGAATTGTCGTAAAGAGTTCGGGAGATAACGTGTCTCCTTGTCTGATTCCTCTTTTGATTTTTATACAGTTTAGATTTTTGTATAGTCTTACAGTCAGGATTGTCACGTATCAAAGAGTGTCACGAAAAAGGCTTTCTATTCGCTAATTTCCTGGTCTATCATTACGCTGTTAATTTACGCTTTTATCGTATCGAATGCTTTGTGCAAGTCTACGAAACCAGGACCATTGGTCGTTTGTATTCAACAACGGATTTTTCTATAATCTCTTTTGTGCAGGTGAGATGCCAAAGTTTTGTGAGATTATCTTCTCACACAGCTTTATTTCTTTTCATTTTCTTCGTTGTGTTTCTTATTCCGTCTTATTTCCCAATTCCGATCCTTGGTTAACTCTTTTTCCTGAATTTTCTAACTTTTCTGATAGTTGCTCATCATGGTTTTGTTAACTTCTGTAAAGAATATTTTACCTTCATATTTAATATTTTTAGGCTATTTCCAAAACTGCCCCAGCTACTCCAGCTGTTTCCGAAGAAAAAAGCTCCACGGCAGAAATGAATGCAACATTCTTGCTCAAACCTGTAAGTAAATAATGAGTTCGTATTGTAACGGAAGTTAATTCCACGGTTCGATTTATTTGCACTATTTATTTATTTCTTGTACGGTTAGTTTATTATTTACATTCTATAAAATATAACTTACATCCTCTCCATAACGAATCATCAGTATCATCAGCAATTTCATACATCGTCGGATGTATGGAATGTAACAATTAATAATAATTTTTCAATTGGTACTTGATCCAGTATAAACAAAATTGTTAGGGATTCATTAAAAAATCTAACAAAGTTTTTAAAAAGTCTTGACATGATTTATTTTTTAACTTGTGCAGAGGGATATTGCAGTTTATAAAGGAATTGAATAAATCCTTTGTAAAAGTTTCATACCCAGCTGACGTATTCTGAATCTGGAAACACCTCTGTAGAATCTTCTGGCGAGGTTTATTATTATTTTTTGATTGCTTATTTTGGTACAGTGAATTCTTTATGTGTTGATCTACTTGAAATTTTTTTTGGCATGGAATCTGAAATAAATATTTTCTTAAATAAGTACCTACATTAAAATGATTGAACTTCTTAAACCTCCTTTATTTTTTTTTGTTTCTCAAAGCTAAATTGAAATCATCAAACCTTAAAGCCGGCCACTCACGATACAGCGGCGTTGTTCAACTTCGTCGAGTTCGACGAATTGACAAGGATTTTGATCGTGTGTGACCGTGCATCCAACGAAATCGTACAATTTGACCTCAGACAGACTGGCCTGTCTGCTGCAGTACTACAGAGTTGATCTCGTCAATTTGTTGAGCGTGTGTGGCCGTTTACAATTTGTTGATACTGCAAAAATACAATTTTAACTACACACTTGCTTTGATCATATAGAAAATCGACATAGCTTGATTTAGTGAGAATTTTTTAAGAGTTTTTTGAATTATATAAAGAACAAAAATACTTATGGCGAATTAAAGGTAAAACGTATCACGATAGAAACGCCCTAAAACGTGCAATGGACATTCTAATTTTAAAGTTCCAAGAAGTAAACAAAGATGCGAATGAAGAATATGTAACAAAATAAAATAACAATTTTAGAACATGCTGTTCTTCTTCTTTAAGTTCCATCTTCTATCGAAGGTTGGAAATCATCATGGCTATGCGGACTCTGTTGACTGGCGCTCTAAAAAGTTCTGCACTACTGCATTCAAACCATTCCCTTAAGTTCTTAAGCCAGGATATTCTTCGTCTTCCCACATTTCGCTTTCCTCGGATTTTGCCCTGCATAATAAGTTGTAATAATGCGTATTTTTGCCCTCTCATCACATGTCCCAAGTACTCAAGTTTTCGTCTTTTAATAGTTAATATTATTTCCGCCTCATTTCCTATCCTTCTAGTTACTTCCATGTTTGACATTCTTTGAATCCATGATATTCGTAGGATTCTTCTGTAACACCAAAATTCAAAGGCGGCCAACTTATTCAGATGAACTTGTTTTAGTGTCTAAGCTTCCAGACCATAAAGAAGAGTAGAGAACACGTAACATCGAAGCATTCTCAGGCGTAGTTCTAACCTTATATCACGACAACAAAGAAACTTTTTAAGTTTAATAATTGATGTACATGCTATTTCAATACGTGTCTTAATTTCTTTGGTTTGGTCTACATCTGATGTTATCCATGTTCCTAAGTATTTATAGTTTATCCATGTTCCTAGAACATGCTGTAAAAGAGAATTAAAATTAGTATTGCAGTCAAGTAAATCAGCTGCAGAAACAGACGAGATTTATTTTGGACCAAAATCTTGCATTCTTTGCACCAAAATCTGCTTTTCATTTTAGGTTTATTTTTACGATTAGTTATACACAAAGCAAGAGACGCTAAAATGATTGTTTGATTTGACACGGTCGAGAACCAAACAAATACTGCGGCGCAGTGCGGTGTGTGGGTGCACCAGATATGCCAACAAATTGAACAACGCCGTTGTCCGATTTTGTCGAACGACACCGCTGGACCGTGAGTGGCCGGCTTAAAATTATTTTTTTTTATTTCGTATGAAAGTATAGTACATCAAGAGTATTCACACCAAAATCTCAGTTTAAAAATTTCAAACGCATTTTTCTCGAAACTTTGTTGTGGAAAGAATGCACCGATTTTGCTAAAAACCTTGCACAGTTTATCTTTATGGTGTTTTTGCTTGATTGAACAAAGGGATTTTCAATCGGTCGACTCGTTCTTGTTTTATACAAAAAAAATGTTTTAAAAACAATGAGAGCCGGAACAATGCTAAAAAATATGAGACGAAAATTCATTTAAACTTGTTTAAAAACTTTTAACTTTATTTTTTTTTCAATCCCTTCGTTTAATCACGAAACAATACTATAAAGATAAACTGAGAAAAGTTTCTGCAAAATCGATCGATTCGTCCTTGAGACATCGTGCCTACCGCTTGAAAAAACCAGGAATCCAGAAAAAAATTAAAAGATGTTTTAAAAATACAAGACCTATGTAACCCTTTAAATGGAAACAATTTACTTCTAGTATTTCTTTTTTGAAAAACTGTATTAAATGATGGAAGTATCATTGAGAAAACATGACAGTCCTGATTTTACAGGACTGGTTCCCACCCTTGAATAGGGGCAGATACATAGACGTGTAAAGAAATTAGATAAATTACTTATAAAGAACTTTTCAATGAAGTTATCAGATTTTTTTCATCATTAAATTTGAAAGTAACATTGTTCCTTGCTACTTCATTTTTTATTTGATTCCATATAAGTTCGGGCAATCGAACTACAATTCCGCCTCGTTCTCGCACCATTTCATCTACTACATATTTAATATATTTTCATTATGTGGTTGTCATTTCATTTCTACATTTAGTGGTTGGTAACTGTTTTATACGCCGGCAGTGATATGAAGCTTTATCCATAACAATAACAGATCCTGAGTCGATTTTTAACAAAATATCTTTTTATAATGATCTGCATCCATTTCCTCATGGTAATCTCCAATCTTCTCAGAAACAAATGCATTTAAAGCCCCTTTAACAAATGCTGAGTCGCTACTAATATGGCAAATAATTAGGCGTTTTCCTTTCCTGATGGGTCTTTTAAACCTGTCTCGACATACCATCTAGGAAAGCTTTTCGTTTATTTTTCACATTTAAATCCTGTCAAAATTTTGTCACAGTATGTCCTTCACTTAACCATGTTTCATCTGTAGGTATATGCTTTTTTTCATCTCTTCGAAATTATGCTATTTGTTTCAGATACTTTCTGGGTCGTAAAATGATTTTTTCTTTTTCTATATATATCACACGTAACAAAATACGTATTGAATTAAAATAATTTACTCAAAATGCACAAAAAGTAAACGTAAAAGCTCATTTCACTAGTAATACTACAAAAAATTATGTTCTTCGCTTTATGAAACCCCTGTCAGTGCGCTTATGAAAGCGACTTAACAGATAACAAACAATGAAATAACTACCCGGATAATGGCGTTGTTGCCAGTTACATCGCCTTAATTTGCGACGTTGTTGATCTCAGGCATTATCTACTTTTGGAGAAAAATATAAACTACAGCATTGCAGATAATTTTAAGTTGAATCGTACACGCTGACAACGTTACATTTTCCCTAGAATCCAAATCTTTGCCAAAACATTTGAACAGTTTAAATCATACCAGTCAAATTATTGAAATGTATTTCATATAAAATAAGATCGCTTCTATCTGAACGTATATTCTTTGAACAGTCAGAAGAAAAAGGCTTTTGTCAATTTTTAAGAATTTTAACAGATTCTGCAATAATTTTTTAATTTGTTTATTAAATAATAATTAAATTTTTTCGTTTTGTCAGAACAAACATATTTTTTTCTAAAGCGGAAACCTGATTTTACTGGCCTGTAAAAAATCGTTAAAACATGAGTCACTCGCTACAATTGTGGTACTTTACTATACTTTAGGTATTTTTACAAAAAAATAACAAAATGACTTTTTCGATACACTATAGTGAATAACTTCACAATCACAAAAGTTGAACAACCGGCATAATAATTTACTCTTAAAATTTAATTTTATTTGTTTTTCCTAGAATAATCCATAAAGCAAAAGTACTGGTAGTATCTGTATCTGTAGAGTAGGGAGGGCGAGTTAAGTTTCACAGCACTTAGGCCACAATTGACCCATTGTGCATCCTCCCAGGGAGCTGTCACCCTTAGCTCATTGTCCATCCTGCCATTTCTAGGAAGGTGGACAAGTCACCAGGAGACATCTCACTTATGTGGGCAGGTGTAGGCCAGGACTCGCCGAACGCGTACTCTCGTATTAACGATAACTCTGGGCATTCACATAGGACATGCTCTACAGTTTCGTCTTCTCGTTCACACTTCCTACATAGAGGTGTGTCTACTAGCCCCAATGTGTGGAGGTGTTTGCTTAGTTGACAATGACCAGTTAAAAAACCAACTGCCAAACGTAGATTTTTCCTGGTCATTCCCAAGTACTTCTTTGATGTTGACTCTTCAAGGTTACTTAGTGTTAACTTGGCAAGTCTACATCCTTTCCCTTCTTCCCATCTTTTTACGGTTTGCGTATGGGAGTGACATTTGACAATTTCCGCGATTGTTGTAGTTGACCAACCAAAAAGATCCCCAGGTCCTAGGAGTCTTAGGCCTGCCGCCTTCCTAGATAATTGGTCAGCAATGCGGTTGCCTTTATTCCTATTGTGTCCTTTAACCCACTTCAGGATGATGGTATTACCATCCGAAGCTTGAGTTAATGACTCGTGACACTCCATTACTAAACCTGATGTGACACGTGGTCTATTCAAGGTTAGTAGCGCTTGTCTGCTATCTGTGCAGATCATTATAGTTTTCCCTGCTATACCTTTTTGGGTTATCTCTTTTGCGGCTATGGAAATACCAGTTAGTTCTGTCTGAAGTACACTGGCATTTTTGCCCATACCCCACTTTATTCTTAGGTTCAGTGATCTGGAGTATATCCCGCATCCTGAGCCTTCTTTCATTTTGG